ACCCCAACTCCTCCATATGTTGGTTGTATATGTTCCTCAAGAATGCTAGAGCTTATTACCAAAGCGAAGAGATTTGTGGCTCTACACACGCTTATATAAGTGACAAACAAAATCTGTTTCTTAAAATAAAGGGCTTACTTTTGGCTACTTTGAACCTTCGAATTTAGAAGCATTTACAATTCAGTTGGTGCTTTTGCCCATTGGGATAGAGAAAGGTAAAATCACACTTGATGCATCCTTGGTTGCATCAAAAATAATAATTTGTCGAAATGTAAGTTTGTTTGGATCTCTTGTAAATCATTCGCTTTAGTTCCGCTTATCTCTTATTGGGTGACAATGGATCTTTAGGGTTGGTTGGATAGCCCTGAGGTCTGTGTGGTGAAGCAGCTGTAATTCTCATGCTGTGTTGAATGAATAAGACATTTTTCTAATCCGGGGTTATTTTTCCAGACATGTTCTTCTCTGAGTTTGCGTAAATTTAGTAGATTTGGAGTGGATTTGACTATCGGGAGCCCCAGTTGCTGTGGCGTTTTGCGGCATTTGTTCCTTTATGTCATTTATGATCTATTTTACTATTAAGCCTGTCATCCTCATGTTTTGCTGATCTGGTCTTACCCACACTGACGTAGTCGTTGTGCATAATAAAGTGGGTCAACCACTTGTCAACTGAATACACGGCAATTTAGTGAAAATCCCACGGCTTTGGTAATGGGGAACTAAAATGAGTCTTTTGCATGGTTTTTTAGTCCTGCCTTGCTCCTACAATGGTTGGCGCATTCCCCGTGTTCAAATTAGGCGTCCTCGCAGTCAAGCAGATTAGCCGCCCAATCGCCAATCGCCTTAAACAAAAGGCCTCTCATAACGGTTTCTTTCGGCGTTACTTATGCATCCCCTCAGGGCAACGTAAGCAATGGAGTGTGCTTTTTACCCCTCTGTAGTTTATCACATATGGAACACACGACTGAAGCTGAAAATACTTGGTTTGAACAAACCAAAAGATGTGAAGAAGCTACCCGAGGAGAGCGCCGCCGAGGTAGGAGCCGAAATCCTCGGCGAATGCATTATGTTCAGCATAGGTGCATTCCTCATATTCCTTGAATATCGACGACAGTCGAGAAATGAAGCGGAAAAAGAGCGGAAAGCGCGATCCGAGTTAGTAGCTCTGCACAACGCAATACAGGGCCTAGAATCAAGAGTCGCCTTTCAATCTGAGGCCCTCTACAAGCTTTCGCAGCGCCTTGAGGTCAAATAATGTCGCCTTGTAAAATGATAGTAAGGCTTCACTACTAGTAGATGGTGTTCTTATGACTTTGCACCATTATAACTTCAGGTACGCTGATTGTTTTGTCTTCACTTTGAGGATTGGGCTGTGACAATCTGCAACCTTTTATCGGAACTAAATAAATCCCCAAACTAGCTAATTCTGGTCGGTTTTTATTCCATTCTAGCTGCCATGTCTGTGCAATGGTGGGCTAGACCGGCGAGCTCACTGCCGTTCCACTAGTGCAGATCGGTCCCGCAATTGACAAAGAAGCCATTTCCTGTTATCTTACGGACGTCTAGTCACTAACTGCAGTATTGTTCGGGACAGGCTGCACAATTCCGACGTTAGCGATGGCAACACAGGGCATCCCGTTACTACTTTGGTTGTGTACCTGAATTTCTAGCTTATCTCAACAAGTATTTGTACTTTCTATCTTGAGGTTTTTATTTATAGCCATCCAGGAGTCACGCTGTTCTGCAAGAAAGTATGCGCACGACCGACATAAGGGGAGATTAGTACCGTTAGGTGGCCGCACAGCATATAGCAGGCTTCAGCGTCGCAACTTCGGAGGCAGGAGTTATAAATATTTGGTTTGGTTGTTAAGGATGCTGAACGGTACAGAGAATAACCAGTTTTACTTAGCCAGTATTTACAAGAGGTTGCTCTGTGAGCGCATCAGAGGGCGTGGTGAGTAAAATCACTGAACCGGCCATCATCGTCTGAAGAGGTATCAGAGTACATTTTGGGATCCTCGATATGCGGCCGCTTTTTTGTCTGTGGTGGATTGCTAGAGTGTGCTCCCAGCAGACCCTGCCGCATATGCTGCTGCCATATTGCCCGGGAACTAGGGCTCTCCTGGAGGCCGCTTCGAGGAGGCCTAATGCCTGCGTTAACGCCACTACCACTCGGGAGAATGGCGGTTAGGGAAGAGGAGGGAAGATGACGGAGTTGTTGTTGCTGATCTAACCAATGATTACCACTACCAGTAGGGGGCGCCGTTCCGCTCGGAGATGGGACTACATTCACCCCTGATACACTCACGCTCGGGGAGTAGGCAGCTAGATGACAAGAAGTGGTAGTAATAAACGGATGTCTGACTTTAGTTAACCTTACACCGAAAAATGTACTGAGGAATTTGCGTTAATGCACCAAATAGTCAGTGAAAATGCACACTACTAGGATACTACTAATTTTGCCGTGTAGGCGCCGAAACGCCATCACGTACTTAAGTTGACTAATTCCAAATTTTAAAAACAAATTGACAATGTTAAAAAAAACTCAGAAAACAAACTTGCAAGCATTTTCGACGCTTTCAGAAGAAGCGGAAGTGGAATTGAGGAATTGATTAGACAAACTCAAGATGGACTGCGTCGGTGTTATCTCGGCTGCAGCTGGAGTAGCTAGGACAGAAGCTAAAGTTGTGGGGACACTAGAATGAAACTGAGCAATAGCATCTTGGAGAGTAGGCAAAAAATTCCCGGAGTCATCCAGGTGACCCAGATATCCGCGACGAATCTCTTCCTTGTTTGGATAAGGACGCCTAGGGTCACCTGGACCCCAGTTATCGGGAGCCAGAACACCGTAGCTGCAGCTAATCCTGTGTGCAAGCCTAACGAGGTCGTCCACATCTGTCGGATTCTTTACTGCCTTAACCATAGCATCCAACTTTTGTCTTGAATAATATAAAGCAGTACTCTAAACAGCGGTTAAATGGTACTTTCGCGTACTAGAAGTAATTCACACTTCTTCAGTTGCTTCTGACAAGCATTTATCTGCAAATCAGAATTGCTGCAGTCAGCTCGAAGCTTTTCTATCTTCTTTTGAAGTTCCATTTGTTCCGACACTAAAAACAGTAACCTCACACTAACAGCTACCAGTCTTCATGGTCTCCTTTATTCCTTTGTCTTTTTCCAGCAGCGATAAAACTATGTGCTCGATATCATCAAATCTCACTTTCCTATTAATTTTCTCAAGTAGTTCCTTCAAAAGTACGTCGATTTCCTCCAACTGGCAGAACAACCTCTGCCTAGTAGGTATGCCGGCTAACATGCTAAGCGACGTTGTTGCTCATTAGCTGAGTGGCACATAACCATCTGTATCATCTAATATCTAAAATAACCTCGAAAACTTCCATAAGGTCATGAGATTTGGATATCATATAGCTTTTAATGTCAAAAAAGACAGGATTTTCTTTAATTTTTTATATCTTTTTGGTCAGTGTTGCACTAAATTCCGGCGTATTTAACTTGCTCATACAGATAAACATGCTGTAAAGATAATTCATCTTCTGAAATATTGCCTTCTTCAAAACTCTTAATAGGTGATACCTTTGGACGGGTCTTCTAGCATTTCGTAAAAGGTACGGTGTTTTATGTTTAATCCTATCACGCAGATATTACTGGATTTGTAAAATATCTCTCTTTGAAAGTAGCAAGATATGTAATTTTTTAGTCTGGTTATTTCGACAAAATTAGTACTTTTTGTTTTGTTGAAACTATGTTGATTTGGGAAACCAGTTATTTGATGTTAGCTGCGAATTCCAAACCTGTTCTGGTTTGTTTTAATAAATTGATGCCCTCAAGTATGAACTCCTAATCGCGTACGTGGTACATCCGACCATCTGTGCGTGCAGACGCAGCCCGGTCATTTACTCGAACATTGAATTGGCAATGGTGTCCCTTGCTCTCACTTAATCGCTTTGCCTCAGGGCTTGGTGATATCGGTATTGACAATGTCAGATTGACAATGTCAATCTGTCATAATATGCATCACCACTTGCCCCGCTGGTGTTCACTACTCCTACCGTTACACGACAACTTCCGGGATTCTCAGATCTGATGAAAAATGAACAAATCAAAGATTACGAATGCACTGCACGTGCCCCCACTTGCCGCGGAGGACGCATTATCCAGTGGTCCACATCACATTTTCAAAAAGAAAGTCGATCAACTGTTGGGAGAATTAATGATATTGATGTACATGTTTTATCACAGTGATCCAGAAGTTGTTTGTTTGTTTGTTTGCTAATCCATGGCAGAGGATGGTTTTACAACGGAAAGACCGGAGAGAAGAGGGTTCTTTGAAGCATTAGGTTCTCTGGGTGACGCAACTCGTTCAGACGGCGTAGGACTCGTGGGAGATAGGCGTTGTTGAGTAGTCGATGTGGAGTTGTTACGGCGCCTCTGAAAACCCTGTGAAAGGTTACGGTCTGTGTCCGCGCTAGTGCTACTGTATCTCAAGTAGTCCGTTGGCAGCCGTATTTGACTGGGAGGAGAAGACTCCTTTTCCAAGAAGTTTGCAAGAAGCTCGACAAACGAATGCTGAAGGCGTGAATTTACTGCTGAATTCGATGCTTTATGTAGCTTCAAATAAATAACTTGCTTCTAAGTTGCCTTTCTTGATGCAAATTTATCCTCACTACTACGATGAACGCGACTTCACAATTAAGATAGCCAAACCCACCATTAAGCCGCAACTAACCTCGGGTTTGAGGCTATTCTGTGTCGTTGGCGTATCAGATTTCCAAAAGAGGTCCCTCCAATTTCTGGCGATCGGTTCATTGAAACCGAGCTGGAATGGAACAGGCAAGACTAAGTTAGTGCTAAGCGGAGTACTTTTCGCCTTGTAATGAGAGGTTAACCTCAGGAAAACAGATCGTCAAAACATGAATAAAATGAGCGGTCTCATTCTGAGAGGAAGGAACCTTTTCGCTAAAGCAGTATTCTGAACGAAAGCGAGTTAGCTGATGCAGAAAATGCAGTTATGAATGCGACCTGCCGAAAGTGTTTTCAAAAGAAAATAATTGCCACTTTAAAGTAACAACACATTACGAACCGGGATTTCTCAAGTAGGTTTCGGATGAACACCTTTGGAGGTCGGGAATGCTTACCAAATCGTAATCATCAGATGTGAAATTAAGGACGCTTCCAAGAGAACGAAACGCTTCGGGTCGTTTTGCTGGTGGAAGTTTCATGCAACTGATCAATAGACTTTTCATGACGGATCTATTTTTAAAAGTACACCAATAGACGATGTAGAATGGTGTGCTTTTGTTTTTTTTTGATGTAAAACAAGTCGTACTTATCCAACTTTCCATTAAGTTCGTCTGCCATATCCTTCATTTCGCTCTTGAGAACTTGGATGCGTTCCTCATACCGACGAGCTAAAGAGACGCAAAATGAAACGCAAGTAGTCTTAAGGTACATTAGAAAGACTGAAGGATCAGACACCTAGTCAAGTAAATACAAGGGCACGTAGTGAAAACTCTAAAGCATTCAGGTTGGCCGAAAGAAACAAAATTTATAAGCGCAGGCGGTGAAAGATTGTACTGACATACAATTAAGACAGAGTTTAAAGTGGATGGCATTGTAACTTTTGTCCATATTTTAAGAGTTAGTATTGGGAGATCTGAGACACAAGTAATTTCCAACCGGTGACATTCACAAGTAGCTTTGAAAATTATCGAATTTGACCTCAAAGACCGTTCGTATCAGAACGATTAAACGGTTTTAACACGACTGATATGAATGATAGGAGCCAAGACGTTGCTAGAAAGCAGAAGAATTAAGTCAGATCAAACCTAGAGAATGTGCTTCGGAGAGACGACCAGCATGACGCTCCAGCTGTTCTTGAAGAGCGTGATTAATGCTTTCAAGGTTCCCAAGACGAGTGACTTCTGCCTGCAAGTTCTTGACACACTGCTGCAGACTCCCCATCTCCTGCCGCAACCGCTCGTTTTCCAGCCGGAAGTGCTGCGCCGTCGCATTCCTCTCCGTTTGCTTTTCTAGAGCCGAAAAAAGTAATAGCACTAGGAGGAAAGAACAAATTTACAATGTGCAGTCCAAACGGAGTTGTAACTCATTAAAAACGATTGCGACAACAAGGTCAAACATTTCAGTTTAATACTACTGCTCTTCATCAAAGAGAAAAGATACGCTGTAACTAAGAGAGGCGAGAATGACAAATGAAGTTTTAAATGGGAACTATGAAAAAATGGTTAGACTCTCTTGAATGCAAACAATCCACACCAAAAGACTCGTTGTTAATGGCAATTTTCAAACTTTGTTACTGCGTATTTCCATAAAAATTCGAACCAGGATGCCATCTCGTTGATGGGAGGATACTCAACAACAGCTCTTTTTTATTTTTAGCTGTTCAAGCTTTTAATCTGACAATTTTAACTTGTCGTAGAGAATCGAAAAATGTATTTTGGACGATTACATTGGATTCTGGTCCATGTTTATGCGGTAAGTAGATATTTAGTGGGCTGTCATAATTATCAATCAAGGCTCCCATTCGAACGGCTAACAAATGGCAAGTGTAGAGTGATCTGGGGTCCCAGAATTGGACCAGTTACCAAAAGGCTCTACAAGAGGGAACACTCACCCCTCTCAAGCCCATCGAGGACCTTCTGCAGATTCATGTAGTTTAACTGAAGTGCTGAGAGCTCGGCCTGGCAGGTACGACAGACCTCACGAGCGACGTTGCGCTCCTCAATAGCGCATCCGATCTGTTCGTCGGCCGAGGCAACGAATTCCTGCAGCGCGGCCAACTGCGCCTCTGTCTGACCTAGTGTCTCTCGCAGAGACGCCTCGCGCTCCTCCGCTGCAACAGCTTCCCGTGTATGACTCTCCTCCATCTAGGCATTCACCCACCAAACAAAGCGCACCAGCATTAGAGTCCAGAAAATATTAAGCTTCCTACTCCCATTTATCAGGGGATCGTAAAAGTTCCGTTAGATGTAACAGTTATTACATTTTGGAGATAGTTACCGGCGTCACAAGTATGTGACAAGCGACTTTGTCAGCTTATATCAACTGATTGCACCAAATCGTATCCCAAACAACTTGGCTGAGTTTAAATTAGCAAAATATGCCCTGCTTAACATATAGCTTACTTAGAATGCCATAAAAACATCCTGCAAACACTAACGGTAGTAAATGTCCTGTGTCAACTCAAATGACGCTCTTGAACCTAACTCGCCGTGGGTGGTTTGACATCAAAAATGGGGATATTATTCTACTCGTTTGATAAAATTAAAATGAAGTCATTAAACACCTCATCAGCTGCTAGTTTATGCATTCTTAACAATGAAATCGCAATGACAATTTTTGTGGCAGTATATGATGTTTTCATGCTGTTTGCCTACTCACTAACTGGTAAGATGACTCCCCAGCTAATGTTGCTTAAAACTGCTGCAGTAAACCGTCAATGACGAACTGACAGGCCAACCACTTTCGGGATGTTAATCCATGGAGGGGAATCCTGCCAGCAGCCAGTACACCATTTATTACGTCATCACTCCCCGCACTCTTTTCTTATTGGGTCAACGAAATAGCTAACTTGAACGCAAAGTGTGTTGCCCCAAGCCGCCAGTTGATGTAACAACAACTCAATTTGATAAATATGGAAAGCGCTACAGCAAGCGTAGTGACCAGTACTTCACTGATAAAAAATATTTGCATGAAATTTTATGAGACATGCGAATTGTGATATTTGCTTCGAATATAGTATCTACATCAAAACGCGTATACTTCATTTTACGCTTCCACAGACATTAAAACCGGTTGTAAATGCTCGGAGCGACACTAACACGTCATCAAAGTCAAACTCAAAGTAGACTATCAACCAAAAGTGACACTACCAATGTGAATTTCATGGGCTCAAAATTGTACCTTTATCTCACTGGAATCAAACTAACTATAAAGTGTAACAGATAGAGCTGATAGCGGTAAATGAGTAGATAAGCGCTCATTTTGACCTCGGTAAACAAAATACTGGAGAAATAGGACTCACCTGAAGCAAATGCAATTCCAGCCGCTCAATTTTTGCCGTCAACTTGGCAACATCCTCGCCTTGATTTGTATGCTAATACAGAACGATCAACGGGATGAACCTGGTTGGGGTGATCTCCATACGGATACTTATTGTATGCGCAATAAATTTAATGTGAAATAAAAAGTGTTTTGGCTGAAAATTCTCATTGTTTGCCGGTCTCAATTTTAAACCGATGCAGTGCCTCCATTGCTGCGCACTTGGTGAAAAGATACAAAGATGCAGTTAACAAAAATATGACCTTCATAAGCAGATTTTCATTAGCTCTCATTTTAAACCAGCTGATAAGTGATTTAGTCATGATTTTCTGCTCCACGAAAGACAATGCATAATGTATTGAATCCGCTAATAAAAGGTTACATGGAGCAATATGAAGGAAAAACATTGATACTTACCATTAATTTTACCAAAAAAATCTAGGTACTTCTTCCTGCTTATTTTCATGAATGATCTACTGGCTCTTAGTTAAAATGGACAAATCGGAAAGAAAGAGGGGGTGCGGGATGCCTACCACAGACTGTCGTTCATTGAGAACTTCCTTTAGTTTCGTATGGTAGGCCTGGCTCTCTGCGTGTTTGCTGCGCACTAGCTGAATCAGTGCTGCTTTGTCCTTCTCTGCTTGTACATACTTGGCTCTCAAGTTTGCAAAACTTTCCAGCAGGCTACCTAGATGGCTCAACAGTCTCTCATCACCCTCTGTTGACTTGATCCTTTCATCCAGTCCATCAAAAGCATTGTTACGTATTCCTTCTGCAACCTCCCCCAACAGATCAACCGCATTGGAGTCGGACTGGTGCACGTGATTCAACATATCAGTCAATCCCTTGGCAATGATCTGATTTTGAGGGCCCAGAGTTTTGAGGTTCGAAGTACCAAAATTAACCAATTCTATCACATAATCACGAAGCTCATGCTCCGCACCAACTTTCGCTAGTTGGTTAAAACAGTTAATTATTGCAATGGCCTCTTCAGATAAACCTGAGGCGGTCCAATTTATTTTCTCCGACGCGGAATCACTCTTACCTTCATGCAACATCAGCTTTACTATTTTTAAAGTTGTCGATAGTTCATTCCCCTCACTGAATTTTTGGAGCGCCAAAAGCTTCAATAGATTATTTGCAACAGTATAGTTGGAAATCTTTCGCCGAATGGCCTGTGTAGACGAGTTTTCCGTTGAGTCAGTTTTTGAGTCGTCGATAACATTGAACAAAGAGTCTAAACAACACAGTGCAGATTTTAGCTCTGGGATCAAATCATTTTTGTCTATCGACTTGATACGATTTCGAATGCCTTCAATCGCTTCCTTCTCCGTCTGGTTACTACATATGGTAGTGATTTTTGTAAACAACGCAGCAGTCAAGCGTTTAACAATATTGAGGCTATCCACATCAAGATCATATGCATTCGAGTCGAAACGCTCTGAACCGGTTTCAATATCGTCAAGTAGACACAAAATGGCATCTGAAAGGGCGTCTTTGTATTCCGACTTTTTTACCAAATAGTTGAATTTGTCGACGATCTTTTGATCCTCTTCGTTCACCTTTCCTTTGCCGTTTAATAAAAAGTCACGAAGGGGATCCCTCCTCTTCGAGAGCAGTTCATACAACCGTAGAGCAGTTGGGTTACTCACATCTGATGTCGCAGTGACTTTACCATAAGTTTCCAATTGAGAGCAAATTTCTTTCAAGGAGCACTCCAGTGGAGTAGAAGCAAACGCCGATTTAAGCGCTTCAACCATGTCTGCATAGCGCTTTTCTACTTGCATAAGAGGACTGACGACTTCATCAAAATCAGCAAGACAGCATTCACCACGGAGAAGTTTGGCGCAGGAGATTAAGGTTGTCTCCAGGAGTTCACAAACATGCACCAGTCGTGTTAGAGGCTGCTGCTGGTGAATAATATCAGTAGGAACCGACCCGGCCGAGCGATCCAAGACGGAACTGAAGGAATCAGTGCTGACTTTTTGGGAGTGCAACTCCATGGTGTTGGGAAGTGAACTGGGAGGAGGGCGCTGTAGCTGACCAATGTAGGCGCGGGCTTTCATGAGCTCCTGTCGAGAAGCCGCCTCAGCGGCGACAAGGACGGCAACCTGTGCCTCCGGCTGCCTCGGCGGCCACACCACTGCAGCGCGATCAGATGCGAGCGGAGGCAGAAGACTTACGGCGCTCGCAAGCGCCTCTCTGATTCGAAAGAAACGCGACTCAACCGACTCCACATTATCAATATCCGTGTCCACATCGCTAACACCATTATTACCACCGAGAACTGCAGTGTTAACTACTCTGTCGACAGCTTCCCCAATGTCATGCAGGACTTCGATCTGTAAAGACAAAGCTTCTACTCACTTTGTGTATTCAGGATAGGGATAAAAGGAAGTGTGGATGATAGAGAGCCTGAAAATGCGTGTCTATCCCCGATGCACAAAGGTAACAATGGATACAATCTATTACCATTGAATACATTTCCAGGCAAAAAAGATTATTCGAACATTCTACTAGATGCACTTAATGCGACACGCGATGACTATAAAAGGCGAGGAAACTCACAGGTGGTGTATCCATTTGAACAGCCGTATCAATTGAAGATGGAGATTCCTAAAACAATGCAGTAGCTAATTTTACAAAGCCATTCAATGATGAGGGTAAAAATGAATATGAATCACAAATACACTAACGCTGACTTGGCTAACACTGTGGATGCAAGTCCCAAAGATGCGAAAGTATCACAATTACAACGGAAAATCAAGAGAAAGAACCGAGGCTAAAAAAGATTCTGACCAAATAATAATGCTTTCTCATGTCGAAAGAAAAAACAGATAATAAAGCAACTAATACTCATTTGGATAGGCTGCAAAAATCAAACTCAGTTGTAGCAGTGCATCTCAGTTTGTAGAAATGAAATCGTAGCAGAGGGTTGAATAGAAAGCTGAAGACTTGGCCAAAAGGTTAAGAATGCAAACAGACTTTTCAGACAAAAAATATGTACAACTCTTTGCAACAGTTAACATTAAAGAAAAAGCCACATTTTGTACGAGAAAACCACTGCCATTGGAAGTCGAATTGAGAAATGGGAAAAATTGTTGACGTCTGACACGACGTACCCATAAAACAGAAAGTAGAGAGGGATGATATGCATGCCGTAGGAAGCCCTATTGGCATTGCCTTTATAATCAAATAAATAGGGCATTGAATGGGAAGGATTGGATAGAAAGACAACATTATAAAAGGCAAACTAGTTAACTGAATTAGAAGATCAGTATTAATGGCATGCAAAGAAAAAAATATAAACAACATTAATTTATAGAATAAGCTGCTACTTAGTAGAGTAACAGCTCCCATACAACTTGGTGAATGCCCTAAAGTTAACAACATTAATGCACCACCCGAATGGATGTTATTAATGCAAAGTAGTCACGGAAGTCATGTTGCGACCATAAACATCAAGAGCAGTAGAAGAGTTACAAGCATAACACCGTATATACTAAGTATTTGGAAGTGTTTATGCAAAAAATATCAGAATAGTAAATATCGTACCTCTACCTCTTCACACTTATTCGACAATTCTGACAGAAGTATGACCTAAAAATGTTTTGAAAAGTTAAAGTGACGCCGAAAAAATCGGTCACATCATTTTTGTTGCCACAATAATGCGGTAAAAATTAATGACGCATGGCATTCATGTGCAGTTTTTGATCATTTAAACGTAGTTTTACAATTCAGAGTTCCCGTAGATAGAAATTACCTCCGGTTTCTCCGAATGTTGAACCACAACATCATCAGATCGCAAAAAACTCTCGCCAGTTGCTGAAAAAGTGTGCTTAAAAGTGCCTTACCAAGTAGAGCTCTACCACTTCTGTCTGCAGACACGGATTTTGAGCCTCTTTGTGGTACACACTCGCCTTCAGGCTCACCTCTTCGAAGATTAATTTCTGCAATCAATTCCTGGATTTGTGCCTACGAGTTTTACAAAAGTATTCGACTAATCCAACCTCCTTCCCACGTAAACAAGCATCACTTTCTTTCTGGCTGCGTATGACTTGCAGTTCGAGCGATTCAATTCTTAGGTTTAGTTTGGATATTTCATCCCGGTAGCTTTGAATCTGAAATATTGACAAGACCCTTCTAAAAATTCACCTCGGACTTATAATCACCAACAAGACATTCCAACTCCGCAATTCTTGACCGAGAATTTCTTAAATCAGCGATGGGATCTAAAGGTACAAAATAAGGTGGATGGGAAAACAAGGCGCAATTCGATTAAAATGAGTAAAACAGCGTAGGTTACACCATCCAAACTTAACACAAAGTAACTGGTGGTTATTTGCAAGATAAAGTTCAGCCCGGATTCCAGTTACTATAATTTAGCAAATTACAAAAATACCATCTGGATGACAAAGTAATGCTTTGAACTCACTAACAGATGAATAGCTCACCTTCAGTTTCTGGCGTACTTTCACTAAAAATTTCCCTCGCCGCAGATGACACCAAGCGAGCTGCTGAAGATGACTTCAAGCTTTCCAACCAAGCCATCAACGCGTATGACGACACCACTACTGGCGTTTGGGATTAAGTAACATCAGCGGCTAAAACGGCAATTTGCCGAACCAATAGCTAAGCTATCCTAATTAAAGGCAAATGCAAAGATGATGTGATATGCAGAATGAATCGCTTTTCGGGGATTGTAGAGAATTTAAAAACATTAAGGACCGTAAGAGTATTTTACACAAGAGAAAGTAAAAATCAGCATCACGTTTCAAATGGAGTTCATGTACTTCTCAACGCACCAATGCTTTTAAGACTGTGGCATAGCCACACTTGCTTTAAAGCATATTTGACTATGTAGACGGCTTGACTTTACACTTTTACCCTCTTTCCTTTGTGTCTTCTGTACATCACCAATTAGGGTTCCTTAAAAAGTGGCCATGGACGTTAGATTGGCGCCTGAGGTAAAAACCCCGATCAGTGTGATACACAGTGGAAATCTAGAGCTAAAATCCTACTGACTCCGACAATTCCCTTACTTCTGGTCTCCTAAAAGGACTACTAAAATGCTCAACACATTGTCGGTCTCCCCTAACCAGCCTTCAGATAGCTGTTCATTCGAAACCAGTGGACGAAAGTACTATCTCCGCTGTATGCCACCTGCTAACCAAATGGACCTCCCAGTACTACTAGCCTCTTAATAAAATGGACGTATAAGAACCCTAAACGCCTCTATAGCACTAAACGACAGCATCGAATTCATCAGATTAACTTCAGGCCCATTTTATAATAAACCTCACTCCCCCACGCCAAGTGAATAAGGCAAAGCCTAACAAGAAGGTAGCCTGTTTCCTAAGCTGGTTTTAGTAGGGTCCTCGGGAATACGTATGATCTTCCCATGGTACCCAGCTCTCTTACGGGGGTAGGGCCTGTCACTCACCCAATAAATAAAACGCAACGCCGCATAAGAAGTCGTAAGTTACTGACTGTAGCGCCCAAGAATCCTCTAAATAGAAAACAAAGTGTAAAACCCGGTTGGAATGTGCATATTCAACATGTAGGAGTTGGGGCCGCTGGCATGATCCAGAGACTGGCATAGCTGGCGAAGGTAAAATGAACAAGACACAACGTGACCCCTCACCAAAACTGGGAGTAAAACAAACAGATAATGTGTTGCACTGATAATAACATCGACCCGTAAAAGCATCGATTCAGCTTAGTCTACTCTAATGCATTCCTTGGTTTAAGCTCCCCAGCATTCTTGGGAAGCACATCCGCTAGGCGGCATGTCCTACCGGTATATTGGTAATTAGCACCACAAGTCTTTGCTGGGATCTTAAAAAGCCAAGGTACGCAACACTAAGGTGCAGACGAGCTAAGGGACTACTAGAGCTAAATGGAACGACAGCGCATTGCAGAGAAAATGAGCGATCTATGGCATTAAGTAGGGGGAAGAGAAAAAATAAAAAGGCAAATTATGAGCCCTCTTTCATTTTGTTACAGATTGCTATGGCTGCAGAGCAAACTCAGCGGTTAATTGATAAATTTCTCATGAGGCTCTGGTAAATTGCTCTTAAATCACATTTTGTATTTGCTCTCAGTCATTAAATCGCGGAACTTAAAGTACCGCAAACAGCAACTCCTGCCTAATATGAGCCATTTTTTAGTGTCTGCCTATTTTTCACACTTTTTACGAAAACAATTTAACATAATTATTGGGGCTACTGGATTTTTATGAAACGATGCTTTACTCCATTTATAAAATTTACAATGCAGCATGGTTTGCCGGCCCACATTTTTAGAGTTTTTGCTGGCCTCTTTTACGCCGGGCATAATCATGTAGGATTTTAGGTAGGCGTTATTCCCAATGAAGCATTTGTTTAAACCTCCTCGCGGACCGTCAGGTCTTTTCGACTCTAAACGCCATATTTCATTTAACATCTGTAGTCTCCTCCGCTTGGTCAGTGCAACTGTAGTACTCCATTTTGTGCTTGCTTTGCTCTTTCCATGGATATTTGTCTTAGTTTTATTTTCGCCTATAGGTTTCTATGACAGTTTCATAAGAGTTGTGCACAATGCAACCATCCTGTTCTCAACTTCGAGAACGCCAAACAAATGGTCCTTCTTTTGTTGACGAAACACTTTCAGTTGCTAGAAAGTACGTCCTAATTCTTCGACATTCTGCGGAATGTCGCAAAAAGGAATTAAATGGGGTTCCAAATCCTTGTCCTTTTGCTGTTTGCGCTCAGATGCGTCAACTACTTTCCCATATTTGCACTTGCAATCGTGGCAGCGACTGTACTTTTCGCCATTGTGCAACCTGTAAACAACTAAAAAATCATTCTGATCACTGTGATGATCCCCGTTGCGTGGTCTGTCCATCGCGTTTCCCTCTTGACGGCTCTGCCACAGGCCGATATTCTTTTAATGATTGCAATAGCATTACACCGCATAACCAGTCCTTTTTGCTGAATGGGGGACATAGTCAGGTGTATCATTCTAGTTCAACTCCATGCGTCTCTGAAATGCGGCCGATGGCCATTTCTACGATTCCTCTTACAAACGGTTTTGACTGGCGTTTGGAATACGATGCGGCCAAACGTGAAGAAATTGTTCGAAGCCATGCTGGACAAGTTTTCCCCCCACCTACATATAACGACTGTCGCTCAGAAGCTGTATTTACATTATTCAAGGATCAAGAAATGAAAATGTTTAAAGAGTCCCTCACTGAGCAAGATTACCTATCAAGCCTACAAAGATTCGTTGTCCGGCTTCAAAACGAGCTAAAACATAAGTCTCGTATTAATCCTAATGCTTTGGCCAATGGAAATTCGTCCTCGCCTGCTCGCGCAAAGGAGGACACTTTGTTTGAACAAAAAAATCCGAGATCTCAGCTGTTGGTTTTTTGCGACTCCAATGCTAAGGTTCCGGAGTCTTCTTTCGAAGCATCTAATGGATTGTCTCAAGACTGCACTGATTCCAGTAACCGCCTATGCAAGCAGCCCATAACTGGACCACTCACCCCTTCCTGTGCAAGCGGCTCCTTGGTGTTAAAAAAGGACGAGTCTTTAGATATACCGATCAAACCAGAACCTTCCGCAAATTTGGATTCGGGTCGACGGTGTACCTGGACTAAGGAGCAATTGAAAGAAGCCTTCATTCCTCTTGTTTTAAACATATCGAATCAGGAACCTCACTCTGTTCATTTCCGCACTCCGGTTCCTTTTGAGGAATTGAAGCTGTCCGATTATCCATCCATCGTTCCCTTCCCAATGGATCTCTCGACTATTGAAAAGAAACTAAAAAGTGGCCAGTACGTAGACCCATGGGACGTCGTCGATGATTTTTGGTTAATGTTCAACAATGCCTGGCGATATAATAGGAAAAATTCCAAGATATACAAGGCTTGTTCTAGGGTAAGTACATTGTTAATCTTAATCGCGTTTCTATCATAGTTATCTGAAATATTTGAAGGTATTGTTGATCCCTTGATGCAAAAACTGGGATTCTGTTGTGGGCATGCCTACGTCCACCATCCTCACGTTCTAACCTGTCTTACCGACAAATCCTGTAACATTAATCGTGACGATATTTACTACGTTTATGAGACTAAGTAAGTTTTATGTTTTTCTAATTTGCCATCTTTTCAGGGAAAAAAATCAGAAGAAGGAATTATTAGATAAGTATATTGTTTGTGAAAAGTGCTACCAAAATGCCGGCAGCACTATTACGATTGATGATCAAAGCTCGCCTGTGTAAGTTTCTTGATTCAGGGTTTACATCCTTTCTGCAGGCACCTTAGAAAAAACCTTTTCGAAAAACAGGTGAACAATACGATTGTTAATGAAAAGTTTGTCAACTGTCGAGAATGTGGCCGAAAATGGCACAAAGTTTGTGCCTGTCATATGGATGAAATTTGGCCTAGCGGTTTTGTTTGCAATACATGCAGGAAGATGTATGGAATTTGTCGCTCACCTAATCGTTTCACCGCGAAGCGTTTGCCAACGTGCAAGTTAAGTGACTTTCTAGAAAAACGCGTTAACGATTTCATGAAAAAGAACGAATCACAAACAAACGAGGTTATTATTCGCGTTCTTGCTAGTGCCAATAAAACTGTGGAAGTTAAGAAATACATGCGCGAGATTTTCTCTGACAGCGGCAAGTTTCCAGAGTCGTTCCCCTATCGCGCAAAAGTAATTTTCGCCTTTCAAGAATTAGACGGGCAAGAAGTTTGCTTTTTTGGTCTTTATGTGCAGGAGTACTCCTCCGATTGTCCTGCGCCAAATAAGCGGCGAGTTTATATTGCATATCTGGATTCGGTTTACTTCTTTCAGCCCAAACAGTATCGCACTGATGTTTATCATGAAATTCTTATCGGTTACCTGCACTATGCTAAGAAACAGGGCTTTGCCAATGCTCATATTTGGGCCTGTCCACCTGGTGAGGGTGATGACTACATCTTTCATATGCACCCACCTGACCAGAAAATTCCAAAGCCTAAACGGCTTCAAGATTGGTATCGCAAGATGCTTCAAAAGGCGCATAATGAACGTATTGTTGTGGACTATAACAACATCTATCAAGATGCTGTGGACACTAATTGCCTTTCCCCCGTAGACGTTCCTTACTTTGATGGCGACCTTTGGCCTAATACGCTGGAGGAACTCTTAAAAGTATGTCCTTTTCTGAGCAATCATTGCATCATTAGTTTGCTTGTTTTAGTTGTTCAGGGTAAAGTTAGGTTAATGGAAAGTAGGCGAACGCTTGGGAACTGTAGTTAGTTCAGAATTCAGCACTAGATTAATGTTCTGATGAATCCAATGCCTGTGCATTCAGAAGTAGGTGGTGATTAGTCGGTGCCTGTGATAGTTCGGTTTATACTAATGTTCCTCAAATGTGATCACTTATTTTTTGTTGGGTTCCTTAACCACATAGAAATATCCCTTAAGTTGCTTTGTTGTTATTTGCTTCTGAAATGTCTAGTTTATCGCTTTAGCCCGCTGTGGAAAGCCGTCGTAAGTTTCGCGAGGAGGAAGAGTTGCTTCGAACTGAGGTGGATGACTATGCTGATGGCGTGGATGATGATGGCGACAGTAACCAGGGTAGTTTTGACTCTGATCGGAAGCCTGGTAGTGCTGGAAGCGGAAGTGTTTGTATGAATGGTATTGAAAATAGGAAAAAGACTAAAAAACGCAAGATGAAGCGTGCCGCCTCATCCCTAAGTATTCATGGTGGCAGTAAGAGAAAAAGGCTTTCAGCCGCTGCAGCCAGCGGAGATACGGAGGCGGAGGTGCAGCGGAGACTTGAGGAAATGTTGCAGCGTCATTCTGAGGCCTTCCTTACAATTAACCTACATTCTCGTAGTCAAATAGCAAGTCTTCAACCTATCAAAGATCCGGATCCCCTTTTTGCATCCGAGCTAATGGAGTGTCGAGACACGTTTTTGAGCCGCGCTCGGGAACGTCACCTAGAGTTTTCTTCTCTTCGACGGGCAAAGTTCTCCACTCTTGCTTTTTTGTACGACATCCACACGGAGAACAAAGACGCGTTTATCTACAGTTGCAATAGTTGTCAAAAGGAAATTGAAGCACCGAGGCAGTGTAAACAGTGCCCTAACTATTTCCTCTGCGAGGATTGCTTCAAGGCGTATGGTCATCGACATCCGATGGAAAAGATCGTTTTGAGTGACGACAATGGCAGCACAGCAGCAGTTCAACAGTCCGACCGGCTGAAGATGGAGCGCTGTGTGGAACTTTTGAAACACACCTCAAGCTGCAGGGATGCTAATTGTCGCAACCAAGCTTGTCGGGATATGAAGCGTCGATTGGGTCACTTTATGACTCAGCATGATCGCAGTAAATGCTTCTGGTGTCGGCAGATACATAGGATCCTATCTGCTCATTCCACAAAGTGTAATGATTCTAATTGTCAGGTTATGTACTGCGCACATTACAAGGCTGTTAAGAAACAACAGGAATCACAACAGCGCTTGAGGAAATTGCAAACTCTTCGTCGTAGACAAAAGACCATGCAGTGTTCTCACAACATAAAAACACCCCAACAACCGAACACTCCACAGTCCATTGCTATTACAAATATTTCTAGTGGTGCCGCTCCACAACTGGTGGCTTCCACGGCTAGCCCCACAGTATTTAATGCACCAAGTTCCTCCGAACCTCCCCATAGTTTTTCTTCACAGACGTCTCTGACTTCCCCACATTCCGTGTCGAATTCACGGAGCTCCCCATCGAAGCCAACCTCGGCATCGGCCCACCCCACTGCTCTGCAGTATTCTCACTCTTCGCCTTACCAACATGCGCCGCATGCTTCTCCGTTATCCGTGACCGCCACAAAGAGTTTAAGCAGTCACCAGACGCTTCATCTCACCTCTCCAGCTGACTACCACCAAGCTGCATCAGTGGCGTCTCCGTACGCTCACCAACCTCTATATCAGCAACAACAGTCTCAGATGGTGCAGCAGCATCAAGTGCACCCGCCTCAAACCCAACAAACCAGGAGCTATTCTACTGAGGCAGGCTTTGTCCGGCAAGGCAACAATTCGACTAGTAACTTCTATGAAAATGGTCAATCATCCTGCATTAGAAATCCTATGGTTGCTGCGAGCCCTCGCATGCCTTACCAGGCGCCTGTTCCGGATAATGAAGACGTATACCCTATGTCAGCAGCTGCAGTGAAGCGACCTTTTTTCGGCGAGTGTGATGTGATGTCCGCTGGTGCTGTAACCGCAAGCATGTACGCTATGGGTGGTGGAGGTCAAAGTTTGAAGCAATCGCGTTTAGTGATGCCACCACATCCCCAACAAACGAGTTTGCAAAGTTCTGCTCCAGAGCAACAGCAGCAGTCGATGCACTGGGCTGGTGTTACCGTGACAAATGGGCAAATTATGCCACCTATTTCGATCACTGGTGGCAAAGTGGCTCAAATGGGTCCTGTGAGGCCACAGCAACCTTTATCTACTCAAACTACTACGTCGCCTTCATATCTGGTAAATATGTCGAATCAGCCTCCATCTTCGGCAGAGGTAGAAATGGTACTCTCTGCGAGACGCAGTACCGCAAACGAAATGGAGGTATTTTTCTATCTACTCTATTTTTGTGCAAGCCTACGTCATTCTGGTCGAAAAGGCGATACTAGTTTGGTTGGACGTTCGTTTTGCCCCCTCCCTTGAATCGCACCATTTATTGAAATTATAATTTCCTTTCTTTAATAATGATTACTTGAGTTTACTCATTCCATCGGATTAATTTCACGTTGCTCAATTTTTTGATGCTGATACCGTTAAGGTGGAAAGAATCTATACCACATTGGTTTTATGTATTATACGGAGCGTTGGTCAAGTTTTGTTGCAGTTCTAGATTCAAAAGGGTTCGGCTGTTCGTTGCTTAACGTATAGTTTGCAAATAGTGGTATTTTGCACCTTATGTTAAATCACTATTTCTTGCTCCCACTAGTTTAATTCATGGTTGCATCAGCAGTCACATCTTGTGCCTGCTTGGAACTACATCCGGAGTCAACAGAAGGTTGTGGTGCCCACGAAGTCTTTCCAGTATTCGACTCAGCAGCCTATGCCACAGCAGTTGATGCGCGGCAGTGTTGGCTTTCTTTCTACACCACAGCAACAGCGGTTGGTGCAACAAAACCAAAACACGTCTAATCCTTGGCCTATGCAGCAGCAACCACAAGCACCACAGGACCTCTGGGGTGTGCGTCAGTCGTGTTACGTTCCCCAGGGCAAATTTCCCTGCGGTCAAAATTTGCAACAGCAACAACATCCGGTCATGGCGACTAACCCCTACTCGACCTCTGCATTTCCTCCCCGCTATCCCTCACCCATTTTCTCCTCCACAGGTCCTGGTGGTATGCTGAGAGCTCCAGTTGCCCAGCAACGAATGCCCACGCCAGCACCGGTCTCACCCAGGCCCCCTCCACCACCTTACGGCCCTCAACAACAGCAACAGCCCTCTTTGATGCTTTCACAACTACTTGTTCAACCGCATTCACAACTGCAGCAGCATCAACAATTACTACAGAGGCCACTGCAGGACTGCACGTCCCAGCCACAGCCTCCCCCACCCCCACAACAACAGCAAATATCTCGTTAATGTGTTACCCCTCCTTCCTTTAAAGCCTCCACACTGTCTTTCGGGATCCTGTATATTTGAAATCAAACTTGCACCCACCCACCTAGATGCTTAATACACTCGACCAATCTTTTACTGTAGCGTGTATCCGTGCAACTGTGTTCAAGCATTTGGACCGACAATAATATAGTCCTGTTTCTCCGCAGCGATATTTTCGCGTGTGCATATTATATCTCCCGTTTTGTGCGCCTGAATTGTTCCCGTCCACTGTACTCACCCGTATGTACATCCTGTCGCCTACGTGCCCCCGAACCCCCGATTGCACTTCCTTGAACAGTGGGTCAGGTGACACTCCATGCACGCGCTGTTCCCCCGTCTGACACCTCACCGCCTCTGGTACGAACTAAACTGAGTGCTGAGACGGGTCTTGGCTTTATAGTTCTTTTTTTCAGATGATTTTGACCTATATTTGATAATGGAAAATAAAACTAAATATTGGGATTCTATCTTGCTATTTTTCAGCATTAAAAGTCACTAGGCGGTCTTGTGACTGCACGGGTGGTATCGTTTTGCGTACTCAAATTGATTTTCAGCTGGTGTACGACACACTTCAAGGTTGGAGTATGGTATAATGTACTCAAAATAAAGGTGGGCACCTCTGGAGGCTTCCCCTACTTCGACTTTGTCGTTCGGAGATGCTTGTTCGAAAATCCCAAAATTGATTAATATGTGGTTTCATTATGATCACAGCGACTGGGTATCAACGTCGCTTAAATAAGCTTGAATCCACTCACCTAAGCAGATTTTCAATTTTTGAGTTTTCTGTGACGCTTTCAGAGGCGGTCTTTGACAGTCTGCTGCTTTGACTCTATGTCAGATTAAAACGGCAAGATATTAGGGTGAAATAACTCAAACTGGAGCGTCCGTGGTAGTCGGCAAGTGGTTTTTGTTGCTTGAGTGGGGCTTAGAGTTCTATATGGCCATCATAGGTATCGCGAAGTAGCAACTCGAATTCCACAATGTCGTGCAGCCATCAACCCTCTGGTTAATACACTCCTGTCGCAGTAGCAGTCCGGTGTATTGGTACCACTCGCGAGATAAACAGCAATGCTAGGTACATGGATATGAAGTGAGTGTCCATATGAGGTATTTTGTTGGGCCGGTGTGGATGTGGTCTACTGGCTAGCGTTGGTGCATACCTATTGGACTCAATAACCCCCTGTCAGTATGCAGAATTTATTGAAATGAGAGATTAGTAGAGGAGAAACTTGGAGTGTTCCTCATTCTTCCACTCCTTTGTCTTGATAATGCGGCTCAGCTGCGTGATGACTATACGGGGTTACTGTAGAGAATGCACTGCCGCAAGGATAGCCAAGGTCTCATCAAAAAATTAACAAGTTATGGAGGTTTAAACCCTGGCTCTAAACATGTTCCCACTTCGAATTGGGTCTTCATTTGCTCTATTTTACATGGTAGCCAGTCGATTCACCTCGATGTCAGCTACTTTTAAAGGGATCTACGTTCATAAGCAACATCAGATTCTCCACAAAGAGGTCGACGACGTTATGCATTTTGCATTTTCGTCATCTAAAGTCATGAATAACATTATCACATTGATGCTGAGGGACCGTAAATCAAAAGTGGAAAAGGTGGTAGATGTAGTCACCCCATAATGGTACACACAATAAAGCTATGTTGTAACATTTCGCAGTTAAGGAGTTTGGAAAAAGGGCTGGCATGTGTTGTAAGTGAAGAGTTCGCATAAGATGGGCAAAATTCGTGAACTCAATGCAATGTATGCATCTGTGCAGAATGTTGCTATGACGTTAGAGACGGGTAGCTCATTCACATAAGCTGGGCATCAGCAGCAAAAAGCCAACCTCCGTGGTCAATCAAACCGTGCGCCTACATGCTCATCATTTAATGGGTGGTTGCGGCTGCTGCTGTTCGTGCTTTTTCGTCAGCTATCCGAGACGCAAATCAATCGTCAGAGCTTCTTTTTTGGAAGCGGGAGAGGAGTAGTGGAAAACGTGGTGAAATCCGCCGTGACACACACGATACTTTTATCAAGTTGTATATGGCAGAAGGCATGGATGAGCATCAATTATTAATTGAATACTGGTCCAGATACATGCTTTACCTCCGTGCGCGGCGGTTTTATCGAGTCGAACTGAATTCAACATTTAATCAGAAAATAATGATTAGGTTAGTGGTATACTATCCTTTTATCGCCAATACAAAGTTGGATTCCGCAATATGTAATTCGAATTTTGATTTTTCCTGAGTTCACTTTCCATTCTCGATTCATAATATGATGATATGATTGCTCATAAACGGCCTAATGAGTCATTATTGCGATGCAAAATGTCAAAACCTCGGGGAAGTGACCCCTCTTCTTAGGCTGCTAGGTTTATTATTTTAGCCAAATGCCGTTGTAGTAATAGCATCGCTTGTCTAGTTTACGCTGCTACTAATGATTAAGAAAGGTGTTTGATGTACTCATTCTCTTTTGATTTAAAACACATAGAAATATTAAACTTGAACAAATTAAAATGAATGACTGAATGCGGTATGCTGGCCCATCTTTGTAATTTTATAATTGAAAGTGGTTATGGGGAAATTACATCTCTGCCGCCGGACTCCGAAAGCCAGGGGGTGCGTCCAGATTCATTTTAGCTTAACTCTGACAAGCAGTTGAGATTTATGTGCAACACAGGATTGGCACATACTCGATTTCATATTGCCCAGTTTTTTTAACTATGATGACGATACTTGTCTCTATAAAGCCGTATTGCCATCTTATCAGAGCTGGCGTTGCGTAACTGGGATTCAGTTTTACTCATCATTTTTTAATGAGAGGACAATCAAGCTCCTACCGAAAGACAGTTAGTTGGCTTCCCCTTTTAAAATTTTCTACCAATTTGTTATGAAAAGTAAGGTTTAGTGAATAGCGAATGAGTTCTGTGGAATTTTATAATATTACGCCTGGTGCGATTCCTGCTGTCAGAATATCCTACTGGTACAACAGGTTAAAGTTCTGAATGGAAAACACTGCTAAAAGTTCTGAGATGTCACGTCGGGCTTGTCAAAAGGAACCCATGACCTGAATGAGGCTAGTATTTCAAAACGCACTTGATTTTACAACTTATTTGCATGGGTTAGCCACGAATATTCGGTTAAATGGTACATACTCAAACACGAAATAACCGGTAACTTATGCAGTGATGAACGTTACCACAGCACATAATAACTGAGTCAGCACCTGCGAGCACACAACAGCTACCACTTAGTGGAGAAAAGCATATTATTCGTATGCACTAGGCATAAATACTACATAGTCTTCTCATGGTGTGGCCGAAGCTTTTTCTTATGCTATTCATTTACTGTATGCGAAACCACAAAAATTAAAGCCAATTTGATCAGCCCTAAACTAAAGTAGGACTCTTCAGTTTCTATAATTTGAATGCACGAAAACGTTACACTTTTAGCTCTAGTAATACCATTGTCTAGTGAAATAAGAGCCGTTGGCTCCATAAAAACGCTTCTTGTCCTGAACTCCCTGTGCTGGATGAATATCTGATATTGGACCTGTCGCTTTCGTTTTGCCTTCTAATCTCAGCTTCGCCCCAGCTTATGGAAGCTTCTTACTAACCCGAACGGGTCCTGATGCCTCTGCGAGGTGATCGTTATGGCAACAAATAAGACTGTTCGAAAATAACAAAGCCTTTTATCGGCTGATATTGAATTTAGACGACTCAGAAAACGGAAACTCACGTTTGTAAACAAAATTGACCTGCATCTTTAACACAAGGACACGCAATGATAAAGGTGAAGGGTAAAAATACAATAAAAATGACCGATTTAAGTTAAGCCGGGTGCTTAATAAGTGCTCGCAAAAGTAACAGTCCAGCCTCTTTACGTGCTTGAAAAAAAGTGCCTGGTATATCTTGAGTAAGACGAATGTCTAATGATTATTAAATTCTGAGATGACTGCGTCTACAGTTTAAAAAAACAATTGTAAGCATGTAGGACCATTTGCCGATAGCGGTGTGATTTGTATCTCAAATAGCACACAGCTTCGATTATGATGGATCAGCCAGTTGGATTAAGACTTGGCGATAGTGCTGCTGTTCATCGGTCGCTTACAAAAGCATGAGTAAACTGCAACTTGAAGTTCAGCTTTTAATTTCCTTAAAAACTTTTTCAATGAAAGATTTAAAATTTGGGGCGCTAGCTCAAAAAATATTTACAGATATGGACATTCGCACATGATATTCAGTGATAATAAGCTTGTTTACTACAAGCAAAGAACTGACCCTGAAATCACCATTGAATACGTGCCTTATCAATAGAACCGTGACTTATCACGTGGCCTTACGGATTAGCATCCATATTTTCTCGAAATTCGATTGACAGCTTCTTCCTGTTCTGTCCTTTGAGCGTACAATTTGGGGATTTTTTGCAGAGTTCCAAAAATGGTTATTAGTTGAAATGAAAGAGGCATCTGAAACTCCAATAATTTAATGACTATTAAAAGAAGGATTTATCAACTAATTCCTATGTGTTTTTCATGCATGACTACCACTTCTGCAGTTCTTTTTAGCTAATGCATAGAAATAATCGTTAACGAGTCCTCTCGTTAAGGACACCAGACTACGAGTGACTCTGGTGGCAGCTGGGACAAATTAATTGGAAAAGTAAAAGGAAATAGGCTACTTTTTCAAAAATACCATTTCTAATTTCCCTAATCAAGTGACAGACTGATATAGTGAGTTGAACTTTCTTGACACGTTTCTAAATATGAGTGAAGATGGCTTCGTTTCAAGTCATTATCGGGAAACTAATCTTCATGACTGACCTTTGGAGTCTCTTAGCAGAGAACTCTTTGAGAACCGCAGTTATTATGGCCCTAAGTGTGTGCCAATAGGTCTCACCACTCGTGAGAAACAAAATTTGAATTAAAATTATCTCAACATGCCCACTTTAGCTAAAATATACTGTTTTTAGTATTACAAAGACCT